TGCTATGAGCTGACAATGTACCAAAACTTTCAGGTGATGTGAGCTGACAATTTACCAAACCTGTCAGGTGCTATGAGCTGACAATGTACCAAAATTGTTACTGTAGGTGATGTGAACTGATAATTTACCAAACCTGTCAGGTGCTATGAGCTGGCAATGTACCAAAATTGTTACTGTAGGTGATGTGAACTGATAATTTACCAAACCTGTCAGGTGCTATGAGCTGACAATTTACCAAAACTTTCAGGTGATGTGAGCTGGCAATTTTCGATCCAAAACTGTCAGGTGATTGCTCGACAAGGTTCTTGTGTGTCGGGTAGAAGTTGTTTGTATTTGCAATATGTGCGGTAATTGGGGCATACCCCCAAGATGGGCATTCAATGCGATTATGATGATCCACCAGTGGATGTGGGTTTGGGCCAGACCCAGATGATGTTGTGTGTTTTATCCCCATGATATCTCCGTTCGACCCCCACAATACCTGCAAAATACTTCATTTGTTGTTCCCCATAAGTCCCGGATTAGTTTATTTTTTTGGTTGTTTTGCTAATGGAAAATCTTGTGGATTATCAAAGATTGACCATGCCAATAAACATCCATAAACTGCATGATTTCTCAAGTTTGCCCAACTTGTTATAGCTGACTCCACCTTTGGTCCCGATCCAATCGTCCGCGGCAGATACTGTTGGAGACGACCCAGCTCTGAAGCAGGTGGAGCTGTTGAGAGCGGAGGTCTACAGAGGCCTGGGAATTTTCGTAGGGGATGTTCCATAGCTGTCTCTATATATGGAATTATACATATACTGGTCGGTGGTTTCAAACATTTTTTACTTTCCATAATACATGGGATAATCCTTCCCATTGACTCATATGTTTCAAGATGGCCAAAACCACCAACCAGTATCTCTATATGTGGACTGTGGAATTAGACATATATATATATGTATATACATAATCATTGGGGATTCCAATATCCTCATCTTCCATCATCTTCCCAAGTAGTTTTGTTGGCCCTATTTGGATGACTTTTTTAAATGATGACGTCACTGGAATTTCCGTCGGAATGATGGTGAAGAAGAGGCTGGCCGTATGATAACAGCTATTTTCAGCTTAGTGAATTAGTGCATTGTTTGTAGTATCATGTATGTGTCTCCCATGTCCCATGTATGAGTGGGATGTAATTATTCAACATGGTCCCTAGCTGTGTCTGGTTATGTATTACGTTCTCCACAGTCCCAAATCGGAGCAACTGAAACACATGGCCTCTCAGTGCAGATTATTATCCTCCAGGGCCCCAGTATTCAATATATTTAACGACTGGTGTTTTTAAATATGTAATGTTGATCCCATGAAAACCAGCTGGCAAGTGGTAGTTTGAGTGCGGTCAACAACTCACAGCAGTTTAGGCTTTCTGCACCCTCCCTCGTGACCAAATGAAGACTTGCCATGTGAGCAGTTGTTCAAAACCCCTGTTGGTTGATTATTATATGGGATTGACCAATATATTGAGGATTTTATGAGATTATCATGGATTATCATAATCCATGAAGGGGGAATCCCTACCAACTATGTTGAAGAAACCGTTCAAAGAGTCTTCTGCCCCCTTAGAGGACTTGGGCTATCCCTGGTGGCTAGTCGGTTTCAGGGGTTGTTGATTCGCCGGAGGCCAGTCAGATCTTCTCCAGGAGAGGGGGGATTGGAGAAGGGAGCAGCAAAACCTGGAGATATGTTGGATGCCTTACCCTCTGGTAAACTAACATAGCTATTGAAAATGGCCATTTATAGTGGATTTTCCCATTAACAATGGTGATTTTCCATAGCTATGTTAAATTACCAGAGGGTAAATATGAAATTCCTTCATTCTTGGGGCCAAAAATGATTAGATCCAATACATCCCACGTTTCTTGGGGTATTTGTTTGATGTTACGGGGCAAAAACCACTGACAGCCGGAACGTCATTGGATCAGAACCATGTCTAACCAATGGTTTCCTGACTTCATGACCACTGGCTGTTTCACTTCAAGAACTCGCAACCACAGAAATGGCTTGTAATCTCAGTATAATTCAACTGTCTGGAAAAACATATTATATATATTATATATACAGTATACATACTATATTTATAGTATATGATATATATATATATATACTATATATGTAGTATATGATATTTATATATATACTATATACTATATACTATATATATTCTAGAGGCAACATTCCCATATTCAGAAAATCTTCGCATACCATGTTTTCATCGTACTCCAGACCTGGGTTTTGGTATGTTACTTTGATAGGCATTTCAGCTCAATCTGGAGGGAACAGTTGGCCCACGGCGAATCCACTGAATGCCCCTCCACAGCTTTCTATCCCCTATGTCGTTCCAAAGCAGCTGTGGACGTTGAATGAATTGAAGGCTGCTTTGATAAGGAAGTTTCCTCATTTGTCTACCGAAGAAGGACAGGGTTGTCAAAGGTAACGTTTTTAAAGGTTGGCTGAGTAAAAATTAGCAAGTTTCTTCCCCGGGACCTCACCCAAGGTGAACTCGGAAAAATAGAACCCACTGGTGTGCCCCTGGAAGTTTGGGCTGGCTTTGGGATTGGAATTTTGGTGCTGGCCCCGAAATTTCCCTATGTGGTCTCTATACCAGCCACGCATACTCGGAATTCTTCGGATTCCACAAATTCTTCGCACTCCAGCGAGGGCATCGCACTCCACAGCTAGGGACGTACACATACTGTAAAATCCACGCACTCTGCAAGATCTTCGCACTCCATAAAATCTTCGTACTCGGTGATTTTCTCTTTTTTTCTGTTTTTTTTCTCGTTTTTTTTTTTCGTTTTTTTTTTGGCTAAAATCGCCTGGAATCACGTTTTCTGGAATATGGGCAAGGTAGCGGTTTCGCGTGAGACGTCTGTAGTTTCACATACTATCGCATTCCAGGCCATTTTGGCCAAAAATGACAAAAAAGTAAAAATGAAAAAAAAAAGCTCCGCAGGGTGAAATGTGATAATTTTCTGGTATATGATGGAAAAAAACTGGTGTTGGATCCATGGGGAAGGTCGAAGGGGGCCACGCATATACTGTTTTATTTTCGCATTCCAGAAAATTAGCGCACTCCAGGGGTGGCATCGTACTCTATCGGTGGAATTATTTTGCACGGAAGAAAACAGGATCGTCGATGATTTGTGTTCCCAGATCCTGTTGTGCAGAGCTCTTTGCGGGGCCACAAAGATGTCAAGAAAGATGGGGATGGCGCTGCTGATGAAAGGCCAGCCAAGCGTGCCAGAACATAAGCTTAAAGCTTATGAATTGGGCTTTGAGATCCTGAAAAGAGTAGATGACAAATTCCCATAAGAACATTATTAATCAATTTTTGGAAAGCTCAACATTATTAATTATGACGTTTCCAGAGATTGTTGAAAGTAAGGATCTTCTTTGGGGAAGAACATGTGCAGTCGACAACGTACATGCCAGAAGAAAAGGAGTACTTGGCAAACTGTATGAAATGCAAATTTCATCTGAAAGGGGTCTTCGCAATTCCCTGAAATTTCCCAGCTATTTTGGCATGGAATATGTTCGGCCCTGGAATATGGGCAAAAAATATATATATCCCATTGAAATTTCTGCGTTTTCCTGGATTTCCCAGCCAGCCCTGTTTGTTTTTTTCGCAGCCGTGAATGTTCTCTCAGGCACTGGAAAATGTACAGGTTCAACTACAACATTTGAGGTGATGCCGAGAGAGGGAATGGGTCTTGCGACAACTTTTTTTGTTGGGGTCTACCCTCTGGTAAACGTTTACAGTTTGCTATTGAACATGGCCATTTATAGTTGATTTACCAATTAAACATGGTGATTTTCCATAGTTATGTTAGTTTACCAGACTTTATGTGGGATCAAATTTGCTGTTGTTGAATTAGAGTCTTGATACATGGCATGTTTTCATTAGGCAAGATAGGATTTGTACATATTTGTACCTTGATCCCACAACCAATCTTCATTGGTCAGGTGTCGGCCAAAGTATCCTCAAGAGTCGACTCATTTTGCAGTTCCGTCCTGGGTCAAATGGTCAACTCTTGTGAATAATATATAGTTATAGTATGTATATATATAGTTATTGTATATATTTTTATAAACATATAGCAATAGTAGTAATTTGGCCATTTGACATTTGAAAGATGTGCCATGTCCAAGGCATTCAAGCCAAGTTGGATTTGTTTCTGGTCGTCTGAAACATTGCAACAGTCCGGAGCACAAATCAAGACTCCCTGCCCGCTCTTGACTGGTCGAAAACAACTGTTTCTGACGAGGTAAGAAAAACGTTCATTGGGATTGAGATGGACTGGTATCCCCCCAATCAACTGGGTATTCCCCTCAAAACAGTTCCCCCCATCGATTCAGATGTTCCACCCAAAGGAATGGGTATTGCCGCCAAATTGACTGGTTCATCCTAGGCTGAGCACCAAAGATGCGCCAGTTGCCTCAGTGGAGTTACTTGTTCTATGAGTTGTGGCAGAAAAATATGGTGATTGTCACATGTTTATATGTGAAATCCCTGCAGTAATCCAAGTAGGCTATAAAAACCTCCCGGACTTTAATTTCAAAATGAATAGCGTTCCTTATTTGATGTTTGCTGGGCTTTGTTTCCCAGAGGGTAACCGGTCATGGCTGGCTGCCCACCCGTGCTGTCGGGGTTGACTCTGGGCACAACATCATTTGACCGCTACGAAGTGACCATGTTCTAAGCCCGGACGCTTTCTGTTTCAATGTTGACATGACACTCTTCCAGAAGTCAAGTGAAGATGTGAAAACCAGTTTCATCCCATCTTTTCTTGGCATATCTGGCTTAAACCATGTGAAAACCATTGAAAACCCATGGCTTTCCATTGCTTTCCCGTGGATTTTCTCCATAAATCTCCCAGGTCGAGCACCAAAGCCGTGCCGACCTCCGTCCCGCCGGTGCCCACCGCCGCGCCCCGAACGGAGCCGGTGACGCCGGCCACGGCCGCGCCGCTGCAAGCCGTGACGGCCGGGCCGCTGCCGGCGCTGACGGCGAAGGGAGTCGAGGGGCAGCTTGGCGCAGTGAAAATCTGGGGGAACTCCACCAGTTTGGTGATATGGCAAACATGGGTAAATTCTGGGGAAGTCTGAATTTTGATAATGTATATATATATATATACATATTATTGTGTATTTATTTCATTACTTATGTATTTTTTATATGTTATTTATTCATTTATTGATTTATTTATTTGTTTATGTATTAAAAAAAGACAATTCCATTATATTCATACATATGTTATTATATATGAATATATATGTATATATGATATTATATGATGATATATAGATATATGTGTCGTATGAATCACTTTTGTTCTGTTGGTATAGCAATCATCATGATTGATCAAATGATGAGTTGATTGATCCGGAGGTGACATGAGCAACTTCACCGTCATGAATGGGCAAGGAGAAAGGCTGATTTGTAGAGGACTGGCCTCTTCCAAACAAGCTTTTCCCAATGCTAGGCTATGTTTATCTATGTTTGTTTGCCGCAGTTCACTCCACAATACTCTGATCCATGGAATCCATGGTGCATAGCGGCCAGCTGAGGAATGGAAAAGGTCCTATTTGGGACTCAAAAGTGGCTGCTATTGCCACTGGGTACTCCTGTGGATCAACCTTGGGTAAAGGTTGGGGGATGGATTGTTTTGATTTTGATGCTAGAAGATCAGATCACCCCGTTGTCATTTCTTGTTCTTTTCGGCAGTTAAGGTCGAGATTGATCTATGCTTGTAAAGTAGAAAATAGAAATAAATAGGAAATGATAGAACGCGCAGATTGAGTCAACCAATACTGCATGACTGCAGGAAGAAAACTGTGTTTCAAAGGTTGAAGTTGCAATTTTGCCGATGATCCAACTTCTGATGAGAGAAACTTACGCGACCACCAATTGCCAAGATCTTTGCGAAAACGGTAGTGCAGTTTTTTTATATGGCAATGGTTTGTCTTGGTTCGTCGGGGAATTAGAGTACCAAACTATATATATATAATATTTACATACCAGTTTGAAACGTTTTGTTTTTTCCTCAGGCAGGCTATCCATGATTAGCGACGATCTAGTGTGTTTAGTCATTCGGGGTGTATCTCCTATGACATCAAGCGTATGGACTGTGGGATTTTCGAAGTGAACCTCCTGTGTGTATGGAGACTGCATCATGTCGTCTCCCAAGTTTGCACAATGCAGTAGGGCTAGTCGAATTCAGTAAGGCTAGTTGGGTTTCCTCGCATACACTGCAGTACAAGGTGTCAGGTTAGCTTATTGCTGTTCATACTGTGAATGGAAGAAATCCTGCAGCAACTTGGTAGATGGTTTATCCGAAGTTTATCCCTTCTTAATCCTATTACTACAATGTTTCATAGCTACCAATACTGTACTAAACCAACTGATGCAGGATTTTGTCTATCCACAGGTGCTGTCAGGATTTCAGGCCTCAAAGATTTCAGGCACAGCACGCCTCCAGGGTCACCAGGGTCACAGCTACGAACAAGATGACGGGACCAAGGAAATGAAGGCTGAAAAGCAGTACTGGTATCAGCGTCACGAGAAGAACGCCGCTTGGTAAAAGCACATGTTTTTTTTGGTGAAAATACCCTGGTTCACGCTTGTTGTTGAATTTTAATGATATACAGTATCCCTATTGTTGGTGGTTATTAGCTATAAATATCCTGACATAAAGATTAAAACCACGGTTTTACCTTCTGCTAACTTTGCACTTTGCACTGGTAAAGAAACAACATTTATCAAAGTAAATGAATCACGGCGACTTCACAGGCGTGCACCCTGGGGCTCCTAGTCTAATGGGTGAAGAAGAGGAGGACTTGCACAGAGTTAACTAAGAAATAGCGATACGTATGATAGGTCAGGCACGAGCCTAAACCCATGATTCAGAAAATATGCTTGAAATAGGGGTACCCCAGTCATCCATTTATAGATGGGATTCTCCATGTTCAATAGACCATCCAGCCATTGGGGTGCCCCCCAAAAAATATGTAAAAACGTAAAGAGGGATCGACCGAAACACGACCGAAACAGCTGAGGTGATGATTCACCCAGGTTTCATCAAGTATAACTCCAACTGGCCCTGCCTTTGGGGCGAGGAGCCTGGCAATAAAATGTCACCGGCGATCCGTGACTGTGAGTCGATTCTTTTTAAAAGGGGGTTTCCTAAGCCATGGGGGTACCCCAAAAATGGAGGGTTTATGAAAATCCCACTAAAATGGATGATTTGGGTGTACCCCTATTTTTGGAAACCACTACTGTATATGAGAAGAGTGTACAGTGTATATATTGCCATGTCAACATCTTGGAACTGCTATTTGTTGACCTCCAAATTGAATTATGTAATTATGTTTATTTGGCTCAACTCATGAACGTTTCTTAGTGGCCCTGTCGATACCCCTTGAGCCATACCATTTTCTAGTCTAAAAGCAAAGACAAAACTAATCTATACTGGTGTCATATATACGGAACGTTTTGTTTAAACTATACTGGTGTCATGAAATGTGGTACAGCTATACGTTTTAAACAAATGGTACTATACGCTTTAAACTATGGTTTTTGAAACTATACTAGCTTTTCATGCTTTAACGATAAAAAATGGTTTTAAAAACGAAAGGTGAACGGTCTCGTTGCAGAAATCGCTCTCGGAAGCTCCAGCGCTCCAGCTACGCGGCAGTTGATGTCCAGCACATGTTACACTATTTTCAGATGTCATCCGTAAGGAACGGTTATTTTTTACTAGCATTTTTTTATTATGTTTATTATTATTGTTATTATGATTATTTTTGGTTTTATTATTATTACTATTATTACTATTATTATTATATATAAGTCATCACTGAGTCATCATATAGGTCATCTATGATGATCTAGAACCTAGAATGATCACATGTTATGTCACATTTTATGTTTATCTATAATAATATGTATATATATATATATTTATCATTATAGACAATGCCCCACAGCCCAAGCAGCCGTGTTTCTTTTTTGACAAATCTCCAGGAGTACACCGGACAAGGAAGCGGCGATGGAAACAAGTGGACCTGCGGCGCACGGCTTATCCAGTCACCATGTGTGGTCTACTCCTTCGGTTCCAACAACGACATGAAGTGCCCCGGCTGCCCTGGCCCTGGCGTAAAGCTTAAAGGCTGGGGAAAAAATGGGGAAAAAATATTGGCTGGTGACCGCAACCAGATGTAACCTACGTAAGGTTACGCGCAAACACCCCGATTCGCCCACACCCCTTCTATGCGGTACACTTGGGGATATCAAACGTTAGACTTTACATTCAATTGGGAAGATCAACCAGGGTATTTAGGGAATATAAATTTCTCACCCCCGTTAAACTTCTACATTCATTGAAGATCTTCAAAATGGGTTTAATTCTCCCACCCCCGTTAAGCTTCTACATTCATTGAAGATCTTCAATAAGGGTTTAATTCTCCCACTCCCGTTAAACTTCTACATTCATTGAAGATCCTCAATAAGGGTTTAATTCTCCCACCCCCGTTAAACTTCTGCATTCATTGAAGATCTTAAATATGGGTTTAATTCTCCCACCTTCGTTAAACTTCTACATTCATTGAAGATCTTCAATAAGCGTCTGATGATGATGATGATGTTGATGATGTTGATGTGGATGTATAAGAGACTCGCACAGGTCCCTATGCTGTGCGTGCCGATATACAACATTAAGTTAGCCATGATGCAAAAAACTCCCATTTTTTACCACGTTTTCAGCACATACGAAGATGGCCGCTGACAAGCACGGGCAAATCGAGGTGTTTGCCCGTAAGGTTACCCTGAGATGTAAGCAGAATATATATATATATACAATGTGGGGCCCCCTCAGTGATGTTAGATGGTTTAGATTCACCCCACTAGCTATAACTATATAGTTATAAGTACCATAAACCATAGTGAAATTGGAGTTATGTGCACCAACTGAACGCTATCCAACGGGGGCCTCAAATATGGTCCATATGGTGGAAGATGGTGGAACGATGGGGATCACAGGCCATCCTTCAACAGTTTTTTAATGGACCCTACGAGTATCAGCAGCACGACGGGTTTATTTAACAATAATAATCCTTATTGAATAACACTAGTACTAATAAATACTAGTAGAATTGAGAATGAATATAATATAATATAATTATATACTGTAACGCAAAAAAATGTATACTCAAAAAGTTGATATAACTATATAGTAGCAATCATCAACCACCTCAGCCATTGGTTTAAAAATGTCAAAAGCCACGCAGGTTCGAGTTGGGTATCCACGAGCTGGGCCTCAACTGCGAGATCCACATCTACGACCCCACGGTGAACGAACCCGCGCAAGCCAAATCAATAGGTGGGATATGTTGGGCAAAACGTTACATTTGATGTCTTTTAATGGTGATTTAATGGTGATTAATCCTCTGGCAATGGCATATGAATGGCTAGTTGGTGGTTTGGAACATGAATTCTATTGGGAATGTCATCATCCCAACTGACGAACTCATATCTTTCAGACCACCAACCAGTTACATTTGATATCCTTTTCCCATTTGTTGGTTGATGAATAGAGGGGTTTCTGAAGAGAAACCCCTTTAAGTTAAAGGTAAATGATGATAGATGGGATTAACCAGCTCCCGGCCCCTCTATTTTTACCAAAAGGACATGGATGAAACCAGGTTTCATCGATGGTGATCCGGGATGGTGATACCGTTTTGTAGATGGCTGGGGAAGCCTCCGTTAGTTTTTTGGGGGGGGACCGTTGAACACCGGACAAATCCCCGGAAGGATGGGGTTTCCCCCATGAAAAACCGGGGGTTTGTCCAGCCAGATATCATCAGAAATCATATCCATGCGTTGTTGGTACATGGTCATGATCCCCATCTGGTTGGTGGTTTATCATGATATATAACCATTACATCCCATGATAATAGTATTAACTATAATAATATCCCATCAATATTCCCTTTAATTAATAATCTGGTTGGTGGTTTGGAACATGACTTTAAATTTCCATAATATATGGAATAATCCTTCCCATTGACGTTCATATTTTTCAAGATGGTTAAAGCCACCAACCAGCCATGATATTCCCATTATACCCCCGTCTATTGTTGGGTATAACCCCACTTTTTTCAAAACCACACATAATCCATATCCCCCGCCAAGATCATTGAAGTTCCCAATAATAAAAATCATGATGTCCCAAATATTTTGCCAGTATACATATCCAACAAATTTCCATTAAAACAATTGATAAGTAATCATGTCCATTCATGGCCATATCATGTTGGTATATGTTGGTTACATACTGTGGAAGAAATCCTGCACCAGTTGATAGATGTTTTATCCGTTTATCTCATTATTTATAGGGTTTCAAGCATCCAAGGTGGTGCAGGATTTCTTCCATTCATAGTATCATTGGTATATTCCATTATTATCAATATCAATCTCCAATGTTACATATCGTATTAATGTCCCATAAAAATCATATCAAACAACTACAAGGTGGTGCCCCTCAGTTATAAGTTGGTTTAGATTCGCCCCAGTAACTAGTTCGTTATATCTACCATAAACCACAGTGAAATTGGAGTTATGTTCACCAACTTAGCTAACTATGGGGCACCACCTTGTAGTTATTATATCAAATAACTATATCACCATAAACCATAGTTAGATCATAATATCTACCATAAAAATCATATCAAATAACTATATCACGGTCACATCTCCTTATGATCTTCCCATTCTATCCTCGTCTGTCGATCTCGACCTTCAGGTGCCAAATACCACCGCGTGGGGCTCGGCCCGCGCGACGGCTTCATGGGTCGCTACCCGGATCCTTGGCCGCAAAAAAAGGCGGACAACCTATAGAGTTCACCATGGATTTTACCATTGAAAATAGTGATTTGGATATAGTTGGATAACTTGGATAGATAGATAAATTTCTCTGTGGAGTTCGAGAAAACTATCAGAATTGGATGAAATTTGAATGATTTGTATGTTTTTTAATGTGTATAATGTATATTTACATATACACACACGTAGCATCACATTGTTTTACCATCAAAACATGTAAATATTTCGACTTAGAATAATTTATTGTATGATTTACGCATCAAGCACATTGGATATAAGTATAGTTAATCCACATCTATAATGCCTAATACCTAGATGGACGGATGATTATGAGTTGAAATTTCTGGTGCCCAAACATTACTGCAACGTCTGAACAGCAGAAGCGTTGCCACAAATTGTGTGGTCCTCGGTTTACATGCCACTGTGGTTACGGTTACCTTCAATATTGGGTAGACGAACCTCCCAAACGGGTGATACAGTTTCTGTTTTGGGGTTGTGGCGTTCACCAGGGTACTGGAATGTCACTGGCCCACCTGCTGATTGCTCCAAGGGAGATAGTCACACATCATGGGAACTAACCGACAACAATATTTGCAAATGAAAACACATGGGTTTGGGAACAAAAAGTATTGAATTTCTTGGATATCCCATGCTTGCACAGGTTTTTGTTGATCTGGTCAGTCTGCGATTTGTCTCTTCCCAATCTGTTCCTCTGCCAACTTTGAAGCAAAGGATGTGCCGAGTCAAAGTACGTCGTCAAAGTCGGATTCAAACTTGCCCAAATTCAGGATATATATTTTGTTCAATGATATACAAATCCAGGATATAGAAAAATCATAATATGATAAGTTTAGGATACTGTATATATAAATTCATGCCGCACACATAAACACCACTTGTCATGGCATGTCATAGGCTCTCAGGATGACCCGAGGATAGCCTCTGGTGGGCCATTCAGAAGGCTGGAATCCAGTCGTCAAATTTAAAAAATCCCCATGGATATGATGGGTAATTATTCTGAAGAAACTTGCTTTCTTCGGAGCTCATGGAGGATTTTCCAAGGCAGCATGGTTGTTTCCATGCTAACATGGTGAAACCATGACTTGGATGATTTTGGGCATCCCCAAATTTCAGGAAACCTAACAAACAAATACTATAAATGTTCAACCATTTACGCATGATTTTGAACAATACCCAACTTTCTTAATGAAACCCAGTCATGTTGTATTGTTCAACATCCATTATGGTCCATTAAGAATTTAATGTTGGCGAACCAAGCCACTCCCCCATGGATCTGGGGACCTGGGGACCCAACTGGGACCCTGAGGTGAAAACCTTGAAGTCGCTCATGGCTGAGAATGGCCACAAACACATTGATATCCTCAAGGTGTGGAAATTCTCTGGATAAATTGAGGGAGAAATTGCTTTGAAACACCAAGAGATAGCGAAAAAAAAACCTATTAAAAATGATCCTATGATATCCTATGATGGTGGATTTTCGTGGCCATTGTCCTATGAACTAATTATCCTGCAATGTGGGGCCCCCTTCAGTTATAAGATGGTTTATAAACCCCACTAGCTATAGTTATAAGTACCATAAACCATAGTTATTGGAGTTATAAACCAACTTAGCTATCTTGGGGGCCTCACATTGTATGTTTGGTGGTAAAACCAAGAAAATCCAGGTTTTTTTTTCCATGATCTGTCTGCAAACCACTGGAACCATCCTGCTATAGATGTTTCCAACATTTTCCAACTACCCGGCCTGGTAATGACTAACATAGCTATTGAAAATTGCCATAGAAATAGTGGAATTACCATGAATTACCCATTGAAAATGGTGATTTTCCATAGTTTTGTAAACGTTTACCAGAGGGTATATTGGAATATCTTAGCCTCTTAGTATGTTAGACACCCTGGTCGATAATCCTCAGTGTCAATGACTTTGTCAGTGCAGGTGGATATCGAAGATGCAGAGCACGAAGCCATTCCACAAATCGTTCCTTGTCAATGAAACAAGCGCAAGGATTACCGGTGTAGATCTGCAATCCCGATAGATTTCGGTCGACATTACCCATATTAGGGACCAAAGATTTGATATGTATCGAGCCGAGCCTCTAAAAAGGGGTATAAATAATAAATACGTTTGATTCATAGCCATATGGGTATGGATCAATACCTACTAATACCATTTTTAGTGGGATGAACATCCATTTACCAGCTATTTTGATGTTCACCAGGGCTACAAGGTTTTGACACACTGCCATATGGCCCATATGAACGTTGGGAAGCCAATGAGAGTTTCTCGCGTCGGGTATCGCCATTTTCTATCGCCTTAAGTTTCGCTGGGATGATGGTGACCATGGTGACCATCTCCACCGAGTCGGTTTCAAAATCTGAAACAACTACAAAACCATAGGAAAATGGTGATTTAACCACTATAAATGGTGATTTTATGATGGTTTAATGGTGATCTAATGGGATTTACCCTCTGGTAAATTTTCACATGTTGACCCTGAGAATCACCAATGTTTCATGGAAACTCTTCTTCCAACCCCGATGACTGCCAGGGTCTATGTTAATTTACCGGAGGGTGCTAGTTACATCTATAGTTACATACTTTATAAATTAACTAGTTACTGTATCTATAGTTACCATCCTAGTTACATCTATAGTTACATATGGACTATGTATTTGTGTCCTTTTTTATTTTTCAAAATGTCCAAGGCCCAAAAACTCGATGAACAAATCCAAAAACGAAAATTTCACGGGCACCAAGGCCGTGGACGGATGGCCCTCCATCGGCCAGTTCCTGGTGGAAGTTCACATCAGGCGGGCGTTAACCGCGGTCGGGTTGGAGGGGATGATGCTACCCTCTGGTAAACTAACATAGCTATGGAAAATCACTATTGTTTATGGGAAAATCCACTATAAATGGGTCATTTTCAATAGCTATGTTAAATAACCAGAGGGTAATCGATTTCTTAAATGATTTCAATTGGGCATCAGAATTGGTCACAGAAAATTGGGCATGATGGGAATCATTGTTGAGCTAGACGAAAGCTTTTTGGAGTATTTTTAGACTCTATAGATGATGCTGGGATCCATTTTGCTGATTTTACCAAAATCAACATCCCAAATCAGCAGGTAATCAGCAGGAATTGATTTCAAAAGAACGGTTTCTAAAGAAATGGTGGCACCTGCATCTGTTGTGATGCGTGTCTTCACAGACAGTGCAACATATTATAGATGATATGATATGCATCAAGATATCAGCATATTGCTAGTGAAGCAATAGTAAGCAATGCTCAAATTTACCATAGATTTTAAATGGATGGTATACGGTATAACACCATCAAAATATGGCCGGTTTGAATGCTTGCTTAGTAACTAAGACTAATTTGACAATGCAAAACTATCTATGTTGATATTCTGACAGTGTGTATAGCACATAGATAACCAACTAATACTGTTAACACATAGTGCAACACTAAGTTTTTGTTAAACGGTTACACCTTTCTCTGCACTGAATGGGAGGTACGTTTTTTTGGTGGAAACCATCCATCCTGAGTGGAAACTGTTGATGATTCTACGAGACAATCCATGTCCAAGAACAATATTGCATAATACTACTACAATTTATATGAATACATCAGTAATCATCAGTATACTATTTTTATTGTTGTGATTCATAATTATTGTGAGATTATTTTTCTTTGTGATGTCGATGTTGTTGGTTGATTGTATGATTATACAACATACTATATATATATACATAATATATACCCTCTATATATACACCCTATATATATACACCCTATATATATACACACTACGCATATATATATATATATATACTACATATTGGGGATGATCAGAATCCATGAACTCAGCAACGTCCAGGGGAGTCACGACAGATCTGCACTTGGACCGGATTTTTCAATTGGTGGACGCTTTGCCGCGCAGTCTGAGCGAGCGTGGGATGGTGATCACCGGGAACTCATCCCCCCATAAATGGTGGAAATCATGGTGGAAAAGATCCCATGAAACCATGAAACCATGACATCTTACCATCCAACTTGATACCCGGCCTGGTAAACGTTTACATAACTATGGAAAATCACCATGCTAATGGGAAAACTCACTCTAAATTGCAATTTTCAATAGCAAACTGTTAGTTTACCAGAGGGTATTCTGTCCATGGCACAAGACATCTGACCATTAAAATTGTCCATGGTGGATTTTTTCATGAATAGAATGTTGGCAAGCCAATGCCAGCAGCATTTCGGGATGGTTTAGAGCATAGCACCCACAAAAATGGGCATGGATTGGGGATACCCTCTGGTAATTTAACATAGCTATTGAAAATGGCCATTTATAGTGGATTTTCCCATTGAAAATGGTGATTTTCCATAGTTATGTTAGTTTACCAGAGGGTAGTGACTGTGGAATTGAGTGAATCCCACATTACCTAGTTACTGCTGGTTGCACCTGCAGCTTTGAGTCATGTTCGTTTAAACATTGCGCTATTGCTGCGTGAAAGTTAGAGGTTTAAACATTTGAAACAATGATTCCTTTGGGTTCCACTTATATTGGCCGCTAGTTCCCTTTCTTGCGGTTCTGCCCATGCCCAGTTAATCCCAGTTTTATATATATTATATATATATTTATACCTGGTTCTTCCAATATATTGATGCACTATTTTCTGATCAAGGTATGAAACGTTTGTTTTCAAAAATTCTGTACGAACTAAGGGGTCAGATGCTCGAGGTTAAAAAAATGTGTTCGCTGCAGTTCCATGCATACACACATACAAGTAGCCATGTTTTAAATCAGGGTTCCAAATGAAGCTCAAGTTCAGAATGTGCTCGAGGAAACCCCTGAAGTGGCGATCAAAAAGAGCACTTTATTATTTTGCGCCCGGTTGCGCTTATTTGCGCCGGGAAGTTGCGCCTTGATTTTGGTTAGAATTTGAATGAATTTCCAACAAGTGGCCCCCAAATCTGAAATATGCCCCTTTGTTTTCCAAAACTAGGTCGAAGCATAGCCATTTTGAACCAAATGGCGTTGGGACCAGGTGTTTGCATAGAACGCTATCCACAAAGTGCTCGGATTGAGATGTCCGCTCAATTAGCCCAAAGGTACAGTACAGAAATGTTTGCTCGTTTGAAGATCTAGGTATGCAAGCGTTTCGAAGTCCCCGTAGCTTTACGGTAGTTGTATCCCCCATAAATCTGAAGGTTCAGCATATGCAATGCGGGCCTCCTCCCAGTGATGTTTGTTGGTTCATAAAGCCCCATCAACCATAGTTATAAGTATCATCAGCCATAGTTAGCCTTTGGTAAACTAATAGTTTGCGAACTGGAACATGGATCATAAAAATAGATGTGTTACCGAACTTAAAGATGGTGCTTTTTCATAGCAAACTTAGTTTACTAGAGGGAAATATTGGTTATACCATAGTATATATGACTAACTTAGCCATAGTTATGGGAGTTATATATATATACCAGTAGTACCGCACAAGGCGGTGGCGGAAGTTTCAGAATAGGAAACCTATAGGAGACGTTGGTTGTTGTGAATCACGGATGGCAGAGCGAATCCACTGATTGAACGAAAGGTGGTTGGAGCTGTGTTTGCTGGAGTGGTTGCAATGGTTGCGGTGGTCACCTCACCCACAACTGCTGGATGTAGTGTGATGTACTGCTAACTGTAGTTGTAGTTGTAGCGTAGTGGAGTTGTAGTTGTGGTGTAATGTAACTAGTGTAGTGTAGTTGCAGTCATATAGTTGTAGTTGTAGTTGTTTTGTAGTTGTAGTTGTTGTGTAGTTGTAGTTGTAGTTGTTGTAGTTGTTGTAGTTGTTGTTGTAGTTGTTGTTGTTGCTGTTGTTGTAGTTGCAGTTGTAGTTGTAGTTGTAGTTGTTGTTGTAGCTGTAGTTGTTATAGTTCTAGTTGTAGTTGTTGTGTAGTTGTAGTTGTTGTTGTTGTTGTAGTTGTAGTAGTAGTAGTAGTAGTTGTTGTTGTTGTTGTTGTTGTTGTTGTGGTTGCTGCTGTTGTTGTAGTTGTAGCTGTAGTTGTTGTAGTTGTAGTTCTGGTTGTAGTTGTAGTTGTTTTGTAGTTGTAGTTGTAGTTGTCGTGTAGTTGTAGTTGTAGTAGTTGTTGTTGTTGTGGTGGTGGTGGTTGTTGTTGTTGTTGTTGCTGTTGCTGTTGTCGTCGAAGTTAGGTTAGTTAAGTTAGTTAAGTTAGTTAAGTTAGTCAAGTTAGTTAAGTTAATCAGTGTCTACTTTTTCGACATCGTAACGTCAAAAAAGGCTCAAAACCATCAGTTTTTTACACTTTTGACTTCGAAATGTGCTTCGCGCCACAACGGCGTGCACTTTTTCGACATCGCAACTTCCCAAAGTGGTCCGACAATGGTGTGTTTTCTACATTTTGACTTCGAAATGTGCTTCGCGCCACAACGGCGTGCACTTTTTCGACATCGCAACTTCCCAAAGTGGTCCGACAATGGTGTGTTTTGTACATTTTGACTTCGAAATGTGCTTCGCGCCACAACGGCGTGCACTTTTTCGACATCTCAACTTCCAAAAGTGGTCCGAACCCCTGGTGTTTTGTACATTTTGACTTGCAAATGTGCTTCGCGCCACAACGGCGTGCAATTTTTCATCTCTCATCTGGCGAGCTGGCTCCGCACCCGCTGCTTTAGCGAGCCTACTTTTCGACCCTCCGGAGCCACAAATCATTGGAAAAACACAGTGTTTCGCGACTTTCCTACCTTTTCGCGCACCTGCATCTTCTTTCTTCTGATCTTTTCTCTTCTGACTCTTCTCACCTCTGCTTTTCAACTGTCCATATTGTCGGAAGTTTCACTTCTAAACTTCCTTCGATTATATTCATAAATATAAACCAACTTAGCGATCGTCAACGGCAATCCCCACATCCACGGAATCCACGGGGGCTCCAGGAGAAGGCGAACTTGAGGCTCTTCCATCAGGCACCCGGCCCTTTTTGGGGTCGAAGTCCGAGGGAGGTATGTTGGGATTGCCGTCTGGGGCATGAGATGATGTTCACATGATTTTGTTGATGTAATCTGGGTAAATTTCATCACGACCTCACTGTTCGACCGAAGCCTGGACATCATATTTAGTAAGGGGAATCATCCCAAAATGGCCAAACTATTCAGGGTAGTGACATGTTATAATTGACCCAGAATGTAATGATATGTAATTGATGGATATCGTTATTTAATTTATGTATTTCTATGGGACATACATATGTTTTACAGTGAGGTAACATCAGGTGTTTGATGTAAATTGATGTATTTACCATAAAACCATCAATGGCATTTGCCTATATCTATATATTTATATTGTGTATTATATATAATTGATATACCAATATATATATATATATATATGTTTAATATTATATGTTCCATAAATATACCATTGATATAAACCATATTGATTGTTAATTAACCATATATATATATATATATTACCATCGATATTTTACCATAGATTTACCATAAAACCATCAAATGATGTATTGACGCAAAAATCGATGTATAGATTTTACCATAAAACCCATAAAATAAGATGTATACCTCCAAAACCATGTATTTTACCATAGATTTACCATAAATTTACCATAAAAATTAATCGATGTATTTTCCAGTTCGCCAAGTCGTTTTTTTGGGCTTTTGAAAGTTGCCCGCTGCAGGAAGTGAACTGGGAGTTCGGCCCGGGCTGCTGCACTGAGCACCTTGGATGTTGGATCCGTCGGATATATGGCAGTGTGTCAAAACCAATAGTACCCCTGTAGTTCACATCAAAATAGCTGGGATTTATGGATGTTCATCCCACTAAAAATGGTATTAATAGGTATTGATCCATATCCATATATATATATGGAATAATCCTTCCCATTGACATTCATATTTTTCAAGATGTTTAAAACAGTTAAAACCACCAACCAGATATGGTGAATGTGAAATATATCATAAGTATGTTACAATATGTTATATATAATATGTTAGATAGTAAATTCAGAAAGTATGTGTAATCTATGCGTAATCTATTTCAGATGGTAAATGGATGTGAATGGTAATTAGCTTTTGTTTGCTTTTGGTCATGTTGATAGCGGAATACTTGATGCTAATAGACTACTAGATTGCTAGAGATTCAGATATCGGAAATACAATCAAAGAAGTAACAACTACAGTTAAACAGTTGAACATGAGAATTTCAATACAGACGTCGGGATATAATCAGTCAGAACACTGTGGTACTTGGGTTCGAGGCCGTGTCTCATCTTGAAGGAGAAACTCCAACTTCTGGCAATTTCACATAGCTGCCATAGCGAGTTGGAACATCACCATGTCGAATTGGTAAGTCATCAAAAATGCCAGGCTGCCATGGCAAAAAACAGCTAACACTTAAATTGCCAGATGGTGTGTGTGTGTGTCATGATCTGAAGATTTTAGGCTTCCCAGTATCGTTTGGGGTGAAACCTTTCGTTGTTTTTTTCGGCATCTCATCGGAAAACAGTTGTGGTGCCAGGGATCGCACGGAGGGATCGTAGTTGATTCGATGCTTTGGGTGAAGTGATCAATGGGAGATCCATGGGAAAAATGTTCGAAGCGCTTAAGGTACGCTTTCATTCACAAAAACTGGCGGCCGGAAACAAAGAAATATGACATGTCCCTTGGCGCAAATTTTAGTGATGCGTACTGGAAATTAGCCTCTGGTAAACTAACAGTTTGCGACATAGAAAATGGCCCATTGATAGTTGATTTACCAATTAAAAATGGTGGATCTTTCCTTCGTTTATGTAAACGTTTACCAGAGGCTAGTTGATCCAGAAGTGCATCATGGTTCCCAGGCGATCTTTTGGGGGGGATTGTAAAATCGATGTTTAAAAAATCGTCGTTTTGTTGGTCCATTCATTTGTCCATCATTGGCAATCCCATGAAATCTCATTACCCATGATTTACCAATTGGTTACCCATCATCTAGCCGTCATAGACCCATCATTGCGTCATATACATCTGGGTAAATTATAACGACCTCACTGCGACCTCACTGGAAATCATGGTTAATAAGAGGAATTATCCCCAAATGGCCTTAATTCAGATTAGTGAAATATTATAATTTACCCAGATACATCATGTTGATGAATATGGCCCGTTGAAAAGGACACCGATGGCTGGCCGTTGGACCTGGCCTGACGATGGATGACGGTCCCGGAGTTCATTGAAATCGATTTTTTCTGTAGTTTTTACTATGGGGAATAATCTCCAAAAATGTAAACTATGGTTTGATGTTGATCAATGATGCGCAACCCGATAATTTGTTAATGTCAAAAACAAGACAAGTATAAGTACTCAATGAGACCTTAATTTTCGGGGATTTGGCGGCACAGAAGTCTGCAATGACTTCACTATGACGTTATCACTCATATTTCAGGCAGTTGAACGTCCCAAATTGTTGATGGTTATATAAATCATGTTAAATCCTCATTTTTCATGGTAAACATCACAGTTTTGATGTTTTTTTGATGGTGCAATCACATTTTTTGATGGTTAAATCACAATGTTTGATGGTGACATATCCTTCTCGTGGTTGAAAGACCATTTTTGAAGGTGAAATCTCTATTTCTCCTGGTTCAATAAGCATATTTTTCATTGTCAAATCTCCCATTTCTGTCGGTTTCATTAGCATTTTCGGTGTCACCAGGTGAGGGAACTCCTTGTGATTTTTTCGCGAAATCACCCAGGAAGCAGGCGATCACCTACCAGGAGATCACACAGCAATCGCCGCAGCGCCCACAATACCTGGGCGGTTGGGGTGCCCGTCGCCGTCCCTGACGGGCGGATGGGCGCACGTGGCACGTGTGGGGCAGTTGTTGGTGTTTATTTTCAGACAGGGTTGGAATTTACTTGGATTTTTGGGAGATCTGATCGAAAGGCAATTTGTTTGGAATGTTGGAAAGGATTTGGACATAGCCGACATCTGATTTGCCAGACTTGTAGCCACTTTTGTTGGCCAGATATCTGCAGACGGTGTCCCTGCATCGCCGGTTGTGTTGAGAAGAACATGGCAGAACGTAGCCACAGATCACATCTTCATCGGCACTGGGGGTGCAGTGGGTATAGAACCGGACCTTGAGGGTCCACTACCGTCCATGATGGTCCATGCACTTTGTCAATTCTCAGTTTTTCTGTTCGGTGGTTTGGAACATTTTTAATTTTCCCCAATAGTTGGGATGATGATCCAACCTGACTAATATTTATCAGAGGGATTGAAACCACCAACCAGTCATAACCAGCCCGTCTTTTGTTCGTCTCTATGAAGTTCTTCTCGATGCATTGACACTTTGGGAGGGGGGTTTGGAAAGCTCCAGTCTCACATGGGCTTCCAATAGGGAAGCATCTGCTGGTGCCGAAGAGCTAAAAATCTGGATCAATCACGCAGATATCCATAGATATCCCAAGTCCCATGATGCGAGAAGTTGTTTTTTTTGCTGGGGGATTACCCTCTGGTAAACTAACATAGCTATGGAAAATCACCATTTTTAATGGGACAATCCACTATAAATGGCCATTTTCAATAGCTATGTTAAATTACCAGAGGGTACCAGTGGTTTCAAATGTTTGGTGAGTTTCCCAAATTGGGACCTTGGGATGGTTCGTTGGAAAATCACATCAAAAAATGTCAGCAACCTCTATAGAAACATCGTGAAAAGATCCCATGGACAAATGTCGATGTGCTGTGGCTCGCCGCGGGGCCATGTTGTTTCAAGAAGTCGACAACAAGGTTTCATCAAGATAGGATCACTCGTAGCATGTACTGTTTCAAGAATCAAGAGACTGTGTGTATTGTTTGTTTTCTTGGTGTTCAAATTTGGTTGTCATTGCATATTTGTGTGACATGTACGTCAATGCGTGTCCCTATTCAACAGATTTGTCGCTAAATGGTACCGCACGCCTATATACAATCTATCCTTCAGTAAACCAACCTAGATTCTTAGATGTGGCACATCTGTCATTTGCAAGTCAATTCCTGGGTTTTTCCAGTGGAATGTTCACTGTGTTGATTTGCTGTCAATAATGTTGTATAGATTGTTGGGCTCTTTTAATGTGTATCAATATGACTTATCTCTATAATTCCATATACATCCACAGTGTCACTGGGGCTGCAATGTTATCACCAGAACTAGGGCTTTAGGGCAATCAAACATTGCAATGGAAAATCCGCCATTTAGCTTGAGGATGTTTTTTTTCGGATGTTCGAAGCTATAAAAGTACATTTCGATCAGGGATGTCCCAGCCATGTTGGATGACATCGAAGGGTACTGGAACTAATCATTGATTCTGGTGAATCGGTGAATCCCCCATTTCTGTTGGTTAGGTCATGTGAACAATGTGAACTGAAGTTATATCATGTATTATCATGTTATATCCCCATGTTTTTTGGTTAAACGATTTTTTTTTGCATAGCTTCTGGGGACGAAACGTCGCAGCGTGCTCCATGAATTCAGCGAGGGTTCATCCCTCGAAATCGCGGCCACTGTCGCGCGGCACTTGGCAAAAAAGGTGGGATCGACGACTGAATTTGGTTACCCTCTGGTTATGTCAAAATAGCTATTGAAAATGGTCATTTATAGTGGATTTTCCCATGAAAAATGGTGATTTTCCATAGCTATGTAACAAATTACCAGAGGGTAAAGTATTCTGAGATCGCACGAAAACGAATTTCTCATGGGTGATTACGATTTCATTGCCATCCATTGCCCATGACGGATCCATGTATGCTATATATATATATATATGGTAACATTTACCATCAATATACCCCAAATGTTAGCATATATATTATATATACCATACATGGATCTTATGGGATATATATATATATATACAATTATACCAATTTCACTTGGACGGATCATCTGCCAGATCCAACTGCGTCGTTGGCTGCAGAGCATTGGTGCGGGGACTCGGTCTCGAGATTCTGTGCCAGGATCGAAATGGGCCAGCGGAGTGGGGGTTATGACATATGTTGGATTCAAATCATTTGAAAATATCAGAAAGAAGTACTTTAAAAAAACACGAAGGGAGAAACATACACTCAAAATCACTCAAACTTGTGGAGCTTACTTGAATGATAGAAATTATATGGTATATTTTGGTATAGTGAATAGTGTGGCCCGAAAGTGGATACGTAACCCTGATGAGAACTCGAAATGGTTGACACAATGTGTGCATGCAGGCAGAGGATCATTGGGTCCGGTTTGGGTGTGCGGAAGCCACCCCCCAAAGTGCCCGTGTCAAAGTACCCGTTCAATTTCATGTCTCTAGACCGTTGACATGTTGATATCATCGTCATTCTGTCTCATCTGTGGCACTGCTGACATATGGAGGTTTCCTAAGTCATAGGGGTACCCCTAAATCATCATCATCCCATTTATAGCAGATGGGTTTTTTCCCATGAAATAACATACATAACCATCCAGCTACGGGGGTAGCACCATGGCTTAGGATATGGCCCTTTTTTGTTGACGTATCACCTGTGGTGCATTTTATCCCATCCACCTGGCGTCAACGATGCACCCAAGTAACGCTGCGCCACGGGGGGATAATCCCATCTTTTTGATGTATTAAACACCCACATTGGTGCCAGATACCCTCTGGTAATTTAACGTAGCTATTGAAAATGGCCATTTAAAGTGGATTTTCCCATTCAAAAGGATGATTTTCCATAGTTATGTTAGTTTACCAGAGGGTATGTGTATGGCCATGAAACAATGGTTGCATGGGGGTGTGAAAAATATTCGGGGGAAGGAAATGGCAGGAATTACTAGATATTTATCTGTAACGTTTTCTTCTTGCCGACAATATGGGTTTGGGTCAAACCTGCTACCCCAAAAAAATTGGATGCTTAGGACAGACAATGATAGAATTTTTTCAGATGTCTTCACTGTTGACCCGCTACCCCATCCGCCAAACCTATCCAAATCTCAGCTGGCTATACCTTTGCGAAACCTCGGTTGAGCCGCTTGCGACCCTGAGGAGTGAAGCACACGCCAAACATCTACATGTCCAACGAGGATATGCCGTGGTTCTGCAGATGGTGGAGATTCAACTGGATGGGTTTTCTTTAAGCCTGGCTTAGTGTTTTTTCTCCTAGCGGAAAATAACCATAACCAGAAACTTATGTTTTTTTTTGACTATATAGCACGAATTCACCATGATACCTAATCAAGCAAGTGCTAAACAGCAAAGTGCAACGGAGTCAAAGCTGTTTACCCTCCTGCCGTGGCAATGGACTGCATCCCCGATCAGCATGGAGGTTTTTCATGGCGAAAAGTCATTGGAGTTTGATTGCCGGAGGGGGTCTCTTCATAGTACCCATAGGATCCATGGTGCTGCTATATATGGTAACATGGATCCCATCAATATACCCCACTATACCCCAGTCATGTTAGCATATATACCAGCACCATGGATCCGTCATGGGCATAGGTATTGGCTGAAAAAGGAAAAACAAGAGCTCCTTGTATTGATGATGTATCAATCTTACAGTGTAAAAAATCCAGGACTCCAACCGCTGACGCAATTTGGGGCACAGGATCCCAATATCTTGCCGCACCTTGAGGGACACTCCTCCTTCGCGGTCCTGGCATGTCCGAGCTAATGATGGTGGAAATTGGATGTGGCTGGATTGAAGTTGCCAGAAACTCAACAGACATGTTTTTTACGAATTAATTACTCAAAAGACATGGAAAATAACAACGAATTTGGTGGATCATCCCAGTTCACTTTTCGAGCAATGGAAGCCATGACTTCATAAATGTGGGGTTTACCAGATGGCCCTAGCTAGTTGTGTACCATAGCTACATGGAAAAAACAGCATTTTTGTAGACTCCAAGTTTACAAGCCATGTGATTTCCATAGCTATCAAGGCTATCAAGCTGCAGGGCTGGGGTGCACCCAACAGAGCCAGGTTGTGAAGCCCAGTCACATGACGGAGAGCGAACACGTCGTGGTGGTGCGTGAGGTGAGGGTTTTCAGAACTCGGCAGATGGGTTCACCCAAACGTGGGAGCAAAGCTCATGGGAAATCCATGGATATCCACCATGACTAAGGACTTTCTCTATGTATGTATATGATTAATTGTATATATATATATATATTATATTATATTATTATATATTATATATACATATGTTTTATTGTGTTTTATTGTTTGTGGAGCCCTGGTTCGCAAGTCCAGGTTTCATTTCTGCTTGCTTGGTGCATGGGTTTGAACATGTTTGAAGCATTTTTGTCAACCACATTTGGGACGATGTCGCCCAATGACTATGAGTATTTTTCTCTTTGGGGTTGGAACCGGCAACAAGATGTCAAGGTTTAGAACACATATGTAGAAGAAAGTATTCTGACATCGCACTCGACGAATTTCTCATGGGTGATTACGATTTCATTGCCATCCATTGCCCATAGGATCCATGTATGCTATATATATATATGGTAACATTTACCATCAATATACCCCAGTCACGTTAGCATATATATATATATACCAGCACCATGGATCCGTCATGGGTTGTAGATTGAAGTAGTTGCTTTGCTTGGAAGTGAGCATTGAAAAACCGGTATCCACGTCTTCACCATTTTGGATCAACAATCACCCAGGTCGGTCCGTTCGGTCCGTTCGGGGAACAGCATCATTTCCGATCGAAATTGCTTGACAGGATTGATCCCATTGATCCCCTAGTTCTGGACAGACCCAGTTGAGGCTCTCTGACTGAGAATCTTTGAGTTGTTGGCTTTGTCTTGGATTGCGGGTAACCATCACCATTTTTATAGGTGGTATAAACTTACCATTCCCAGTCATGGGTTGGTTTATAACATTGTTTTACCCACATTATCCCTAACCCCCATGGGTTGTCATCACTTTCCGAATTGTGTCATATCCCCCATGTTTTAAGCGTCCATCTCCGTTGAACTCTTCGCTGAGGGGCGCTATGTCTTTGATGTCTACTCCCAGGGAAAACTTCAAGGTGGCGAATCACAGTTCG